AATTCAAGTGTTTTGCTGTGAAAGCGTGTAGAGTGAAAGATCCCCAGTCCCAAAGGAGGCACGTTACACGTGCCATACACTGCTGCCCTGTACAAGTGCAGAAAGGCAATTTCCCATGTGTGTCTGTAGCTTCTACTCCATGGTGTCTCCCAAACCTCCTTCCAGATTGAATTTTTGGAGCATGGAGGCCCTGACAGCCTAATGTAGGAGGACTGTGATTTCCCCCAAATACTATTTTAGGTGTTGCAAGTATAATCTGTTACTAACAGCTCTTGAAATGCAATGGCAAAAGCCCAGGCTAACTAGAGGTGTTTGGAAAGCGAACATTGCTGTTGCATAATATTATGAAAACTGAGACTGCTATTTACAGAGTGCTTATGCTGCAAGATCAGAAGCTGCTCCACATGAGACTGACTGGGTTTCAGGACTCCCATATACACACTGGAGATTTTATGGGAAAAGGATTCTCCAAAGACCAAGACAAAACCTGAAAACAAAGAGGGTGAAGAGGAGTGGAGGCTCCCAAAAGAAAGCGCAAGAACAGCTCCCTCCCCCCAAACGCACCATAATCCCAAATCAACTCTTCAGCACTAATGGGAGCACCGAGCTGCTGGTTTTCCTGCAGAACTTGTGATGTGAATCAGCCATAACATTGTGCCTCATTTGCAGCCCAGCAGACCACAGTAAGTGAAAGTTCATCAGGACCCCTCTAGAGATTAACAACCACAAGGGAAAACAGCCATCATTACCATGGCTGCCCCGTGTGGGACAGAAGGAACGGGAAATTAGATGGGGATGTCATGGGCCTTACTTGTCCTCCTTCGCCTTAAGGAGCTAAGAACTGCTGCCCAAACTTGGCCTTGCAGCACAGCCTCCTGGCCAGTAGTTGTCCAGCCACCATTTTTTATCCGAGCATTGCCATGTGTCTCGGCTTTCGGCAGAACGTCTGATCAGGCTGGGAAGGAAAGGTTCCTCAGGCTAGCAGGAGAGGTTGCACTCCAGGTCATCAGCGGCTGGTTCTCAGGGCAGCAGCTGAAGGTGACCTCAAGTTTGTGCCCTCTATCACCCAGAGAAGGGATATGATCTTTGCTTCTCCCACATATCCCTCAAACATATCCAGTTTATTCTCTCTACTGAAAGAGAGAAATATTATCTGGATGTTAATATGGTTTGCGTTAGGCAGAGCAAGACCTCAGACCACTTCACTTCTTGTCCTGATTTTCTAGGGAAACTTCTAATGTATAAACAGAATAAAAAAAATGCAATAGGTCATAGCAAGGATTAATACTGGAGACAAAAGAAGGATTAGGGTAAAGCGTTCTCATGGTTTTCCACCCTCTTCCAGATAACTGTGATGGGGACAAATCAAGAATGAACACGAACGTCTCTCAGTCTTCACTGCAGCACGCCGGTGGGATAAAGTGGTATTATTCTCTGAAGAGAGCAAGGAAACAGGCTGAGATATGTGAGGTATGGCCTCAGCCAGAGTTAGTTCACGTAGGGCACTGCAATAAAAGTGCTGAGAAACTGGAGGAGAACAACTGGATCTATGAAGAAAGATTGAAATATTATTTAAATCATTTGAGACAGAAGTACAAGGTTTTGGGAGAGGTAATAGGTTTCAAATATGTAGAAGGCTGCTGCTAAGAAGAAATAAACATTCCAGCTTCCAGGTCCACTGAGGATAGGACAAATAGTAAGGATTTGACTTTTCCTGTTTTTGAAACTTTGGTTAAACATTAGGAAAAAAGCTCTAAAGATAAGGGCAATTCAGCAACAGAGCAGATTGCCCGGGGAGGCTGCAGAAGCCGCACCGCTGGGGGCTTTTAAGAGCAGGTCAGCATCCTGGAGGAGCATGTGCAAGCACTAATGGGAACTGATGCCTCCTTAAGGCAGAAGACTGGCCTTTTGGCATGCTTTCCAGTTCAAGAATCAAAGAAGAATTCAACCCCTCAGGGTAATCAGCAGGAAACTGAACCGAGATCTCTAGAGTCCTCATAACTGTGCTGCTGCTCTACCATCTAACAACAAACTATGATTTGGCCCACCTCTGAAGCACAGAAATGGAATAGTTTTCCCATCAGACACAGATGATCAAACCAGAGGTAGCACGAAGTGGGGCTAGTGCGTGATTCTGACTGTCAGCCCTAATTAACCTGCAGCACGGAGACTGCTGATGGCAACGCAGCTGTGACTGCAGCGCTCAGCTGACGATGTACACTGAGAAATGCCAGTATTTCTTCAGCATCAGCTGCCTCTCCTGGGCTTGTCTTGATGTTGCTGTACTGAGAGCACTATGCAGGACTATTTGTTAAAAAAAAAAATATATATATATACACTACAATTATGCTAGCTACTCTGTCTACCGATGTTCTTCTGCCACCTCTCAAATTCTATTAAACTGTACCTTAGACAGCAAACTATCAAGTACAAGAAATATATACAGACAACAAATTGATACCTGATTACAGCTTATTATTATTTTTCAGGAAAGCATAAGGACTCCAAGTTACTACAGGCTTTACATGTACGGGGAAGATTTAACTTGTATGTTACATCGATACATTTCACTTAGCTTTTACATTTTAATCAGCTTAATTTTCAGTTTTCATTTTGTAGTTATCTGGCCATGGACTAGCACTGTGTTAGGAATTAGAACACCACAAGCAATGGTCAAGTAAAGAAGATTCTCCTCCCAGATGCTTAACTCTTGTTCCACATTCGTTAAAAGATTTGAGGACTTGAAATCTATCTCGATTAGAATTAAACACCATCTCCCACATACAACCAGAGAAAAAATTCCTAGAAATATTTTGATTAATATTGAGTTTAGTTTCCTTTGTTCCCATGTGTTTTACAACAGTGAATGTGGGTACAATTCTCTGCCACAGTGAATGCAAACTTGCCAACATCCTTCCTTTTAACATGCCCCTTTTTTGTCAGAAACCAGCATAGTTCATGCTCAGGGCCAGCACAACGCTACCACCCACATTTGCTTTAAAAATCAGAAATAATCAAGGAGGAAGACTCTCTTTCTGTAAATAAATTTATAATAGATTCAAGCTGCGCGAATTATTGCACTCAATGCAGACACGCAACTGAAACATCACAGCCCACAGACAGAGAGACTTCTACCAAGAGGCAAGCTATTCTCCTCTCCACCTCCCCTTTGCAAACCCTGCCATTTCAGTATCTCACTGAAAAAAACAGCAGACCAAATGGCACTGCAGGAATTTTGTGGGAGTAACGTATGAGGAGTCTTTCTCAGTCTGTACAGCTCGGAGTTTGCATGCTCAAAAACATGTCGGAGGAGAGCACCCTGAGGCAAAAATTGGACATCCCCCTCTGCATCTCCCTAAAAACAAGCAGAGACCAGCAGTGTGACCAGCAGTGCTGCAGCCTTGGCTGGTACTCAGCAGGAAAATGACCCGAAGCTCACATTTTTTCTACAGCTGTCAGTCTCCTGCCTATTGTGTCAGCCAGGAACGTAGCAGGCTAAAAAACTACCAGGAGACGGTTCCTTCTGGTAGGGGCTTCTGCTTTTGCTCCATGTTTTATCTCTGGAGACATGCACCCAAAGCAGCATGCCTGCTACACAACCTGCCAACAAGGCCCTCCATCCTTTGCTATAAGCCTGCTTTTAGCAGCCTTTCCACTTAAACTTTCCGAAAAGGATGGCCTGCTGGGGCCCAGAGTTGCATTTCTTTTGTACTGCCGCCCTTCATTGCAATGGTGAGAACAGAAGAGCTAGCCCAGCTGCACTTCAGGGACCTCAGGTGCACTGCACAGCTGTAGTGATTTGTCTTCCTGGGCAGGGAGCATCAGGAAGTGTGCAAGATGCTGGGAGAGACAGGGAGTGTTAAGTGATAGCGAGACAACAGATGAGCTCAGAGGACTGGCAGCTGCTGAGGGCCTACTTGCTGCAAGCACTTTCCATTGGCCACTATTGACCAAACGATCACTGCTCTTGCACAGCTCGGGTAATCAGTGCATCACTCCCATAAATAAAGGGCATCCAGTCCTGAAACACTGACCTAATACTTTTCCAATAGCTACAAGACCAAACGTTCTGTTCTTTAGCCAAAGGTCAGTTGCTCCCCAAAGTTTATTGTTTAAAAGGGAATCAAATTTATTTTTTTAATTTCTAAGCAAATGGAGGGGTTCTGTGTTTGCATGGCAGTGGCACAAGGAGCACATTGGCTCAGCAGAAGGCCTAGAAGAAAAGAAACATTAATATTTACTTGGTCACAGAAAAAGCCATTGAGCCATAGTGTATTCAGTGTAACAGCACATAAAGTGGACACTAGATCTTAAGTTCAACACTTTGTCCAAAAAGACCAAAAGAAATTTGCACTTTTAAAGCACGAGACCGAAGTTTGCGCATGTATTTCATGAGACTGGAGGCTCAATGTACATGTGCTAACCTAGGAGCAGGGGTCTAGCAAGAACTTGTCATCATACACTTAGGAGAAAACAGCCTGAAGCTGTGGGTTAGGCCTTTATTTTACATTAGAGCTAAGTGCAGGCAGAAAAATATCCCCCGCAAAGGCCACCTCTTGGTGTCAGCCACACAAAACCTCCCCACAAAGAAAGACAGGCAGGGGCATGCTATGATGGCAAAAGGTGATTTTGATGGATGACTTTTTCACCTCTGCACCACGTAGCATGAGAAAGCAGCCCTGTTAGAGTTCCAAGGGCTGATGAGCTTTGTTTTGTTTAATAATTTGCACTGTAAACACGCTGAGTCTTTCAATTTGCCAAATTAAAAAACAAACAACCAACAAAACAAAAAAAATCACATAAAAAAAAACCCACAGCATCCCTGTATGCCACTTCTGTACTACAACTGCATCACTATCCGAGATGCAGAACGCAGTATCGTTCAAGTTTTGAAAGATGCAGCACTAGATAAACCCCAGCAACTTTCAAACTGGAATTTTCTTCACTAGGATAACATGAATGCTACCAAATACAAACCAAATAGTACAAAAGCCACTTACCAAATACAAGCAGCCTGGAGTTCTGCTGCAGACAACAGCTCAGCTGTCGACTAAGCAACATTGACGCCATTTTATGTTTTCTTTACTCAAAAAGACTCTATCTTGAGGCTGATGTTCTGGAAGAGAAAAAAAAAAGAAAAACATTTATTCATGTCCCTGTGGATGTAGCTACTGTGCCATTCATTTCAATTTCTCCTTTCGGTATCAGGACTGAGACCTGAGTCTGACACTAGGTCCTGTTAAGGCAAATGACTACCAGAGTAAATTTGTAACTCCCAACTTCAGTGGGGCCAAGACATAAAAGATCATCATTTAGCTTCCCTTCTTTGCTTGCTCATCGACTTTCTGTATGCATGTTAGACTAAGTTAATCATTTAATATTTTTTTTTCTTGTCAGTCTCTCAAGACAATGTGTTACTTAAGACCGAACCTATGTTCATGATAAAAACTTCATCTAAACCAAAAAGACAGCATGAGAAACACTAGAAAATAAAAGAAAAACAATTATTTGAAAACACAGTTTCTACCAAGCAATCCCATCTCTCCAAAGACAGCTTGTGAGAGCCGGGGTTGTTCAGCCTGGTGAAGGCAAGGCATGTACCTGATGGAGGGCGCAAAGAGAGTCAGGCTCCTCCCAGTGCTGTCCAGTGAGAGGACAAGGCAATGGGTGAAAAATGAAATACAGTAAGTTCCACCTAAACCATAGAAGAGGTTGTGGAGTCTCCCTGCTTGGTAGTATTCAAAACTCAGCTGGACACTGCCCTCGGCCATCTGCTTTGGGTGGCCCTGCGTGTGCAGGCCTCGGAGCAGCAGGCCTCCAGAGCTCCCTTCCAGCCTCAGCCAGCTGAATCGGAATGACTTTGTCAAGTCCAGTAGCATGGATGCTAATATGACTCCTTTTTCATTCTGGATTACCTGCACAGAAAGCCTGTCTGGAAGGCACAAGTAGATAGAAGAGGTTATTAAATTATTATCTACGATACAGGTTAAATTCAAACCTTACGCTTCAAAATCTGGCGTGTTCTACCTAGGACTTCACAGGCCCTGCTTGTCTGTGCAGAGACCGTGCTGACATTTTCCTCCTCACTGGGTGCCCCTGTGCCCCCAGTAGGGACAGGCCATCTGCTGGCAACGGATCCAGGCTTGCAGTCCAAAGGGAACTGCGGCCACCACCCGTACACCTCCCGGGAAGAGCTCCACGGAAAGGCGCTGCTCCTCCCGCAGAGCGAGACCACAGCTCCCTGCCGGCATCCTTCTTGTGCCCTTGGTACAGCACGCAAACACTCCTTGGGCACTGGATGAAGGGAACACACCGAGCTGCCATGGCAGGAAGCATCTCTTATCCCACAGTAATATATCAGAAGTTTTATTTCTGTATCATCTTTAGTCAACACACCGTTTGCTTTCCTTCACACTTCAGATTTTTCAGAATTGGCAAAATAAAGCAAAAAAAAACCATCCTCACCTGCAGAGATCTATTAATTCACAGACAACATTAATACTTTGGTACAAGGAAAATTCCCTGTGCCTTCCCAGACCACTGACGCAGCACTTGGTTTCTTGCAGTTTGCTCTGAGTTCAATTTAAAAACTGATGTATTTTGTAATCTGCCAAGGTGAGCAAACACTTGCACAACGTTTGTGCGCAGTCTACAAAAAGCTTGCTCAGCTTTGTGAGGTTTGGAACGTAGAAGGAACTAGACTTATGAAAATCCCAATACCATGCATTTCTTATCTCAGTCATTCTCCGGCAAAAAAACAAAGGTGAGTCTGAGTCAGTGAAATCACCACAGTGGAAAAAAAAGCTGCTAAAGGGCCAATCAGCCCAGCATCTCTCACAATGATTAACTACTTTGACGTCCTCTGCTCAGAGCTACTCAACTCCTCTGTACTCCTGCAACCTTCAATTTCCTCCTTAACTTTGCTCTGCAAGATTTAGAAGTCTCCAGGAGCCTGTTAAAAGCTAACTTGAGCACAGCTTTGCAGGAGCCAACAACTGGAGCAGTGCAAACGTTCCTATGAGAAAGCTAAAACGTAACCCACCGTGACTCACTTTGGTGTTCCGCTTCCCTTTAGAGTCATTTCCTGTGGGTGTTTTGCTACAAATTGACTAGTCTACCTTGTCCTTAATGAGATGTCTCTTCACATCCAAATCAAACCTACCTTCCAGTCACACCACACCATCCTATCTGTCAGTGACCAGGTCTCCTTCAGCGACACCCCCTTTCCCTTTCCTAGGCAAGTCATCTCCTACGTGTTTGCTCCTAGGATGCTACTTTACCTTTCACTTCTATTTACAGTTTATCTAAAGTCCTTTAACGTTTGAAATACAATATTCATAAAAGGCTCAAAATTACATTTTGAAAAGGTATTGGCTTTCTGAAGAAGTCATAGAAAATATTATTGCAAGAGGTTTAAAAATAAAGCAGCTTACCCCTAATTTTCCTTGGCAGCTGTTATATAAAAAGTTTTACCATTTTCCAGTCCAGAGTCAGAATAAATCATGTAATATCACATATGAGCATAACTAAATTCAACTTCTTTTCCATCTCCGTTAAGCACACAAATTCTCACTGTAGATTAGCTGATATGACTGGGACATTTGTCTAAGCACGTGTTATTTGGTTGCCATAATAACCAATTGAATTTTGCCTTCGTAATCCATCTCTTGATCAATTCCCACTGGCCTTGCTTGTTCTAGTGCTGCAAGCAGCAGGGGCAGAATTTGGAAGCCAGCAGAAATCAGTGCTCGTGCACGTGCCAAAGCTGCAGCAAAGCGATGCTCCGCAGCAGCTGCTTACAGCTTCAGATGTGTTAAAATCTAGGCAAAATACGCCTGCCAATTTCAGATATCAGATTGTACATGGGATGTGACGAACAATTTTTTTGATTAGCTTTACAATTAAATGCTAGCTACCTTAGATTTCAAAGAAGTGAGACTTTTCCAGAAAAAAGATTCACAACAGTCATCTTTAAATATTTTTCCTCTAATGGCAACTGACTGAGCTGGAGGTTAGAGCTCACTATACACAGCAGCTATTCTGAAGTGAATGGTAAATATATCAATTTTGCAGATATTCTGGGTGTTACGTATAAACTGTGTTTGCCAATGCATGTGTAAGTCACAAAGTCGCATTCTTTTAGTAAGAAAATATATTTTCGAAGAAGCAGCTCCATTAAGTCTACAGAGCACATGAAACAGGGATACATGAATTTTTTTATGCATACAATGTAAAATTGGATGTATTGTTTTTAAAACAGCATCTGCTAAAATTATGTACTAAGTGATTATTTCTGACAGGCAAAATTAGTTACCAGGAATGACAAACAGTCATTCAGCAGTAGTAACAGCAGCTAATTGCAAGCATATAAAAGACAAATTGTTTCTGTGAACTCAAGATGCGGGGAGAACCCCTGGAAAAAATAAAACAAGTTAGGGAGGGACCCCAACATTTAAGGCGCTTGATCCAGACGCTTTTTACAAGAGCCAAAAACCACAAACGAGGACTTTGTATGACCCGTTCTCTCTTGCTAGCAGAGAAGCTAATGCAGCATGACATCTGCGTTTCAGACTGCAGCTTGCAAAACCTGCCCCGAAAGCATCCTCGGGATAGATTCAAAGGTAAGAGGGTAAGCAGAAACATTGTAAGATGTGTATTAGAAGTCAGCACTGCAGATTTTTATCTCCTTCTTCCAGTTCATGTCAAAGACATGGAAACCCGTTTTAAATTCATGGGAGCATCTATCTCTCAGCTGTTCCAAACCCATTTACCAGGAACAATTAGGTGCTTTAGAAACAGCAGCAAAAGCTGCACACTGCAATTACTCCACAAAGTCTTCCCAGTATGTATTTGGCGGAGGTAAAGGCAAATTAATTACATCTTTGCTGTTTTCCTTCACTTGGCTTTTCTATAAGTTTGACGTGAAAACCAAGCAAAGTTTGCTTTCTTTTGAATTAAAAGTGTATTTCCTTGGCTTTGCAGGACAGCAAGTCCAACTAATGATACAAAGACCCACCACATGCTAAAGCATTCATGGTCCAGTCTTTTGTAGTGTTTTATCTCCTGTGAGCTCTTACTTCTTTTCTAGCCTCCACAATGTTTCCTCAACTGCACATGGGGGCTCTTCAGACTGCTTTTCTGGAAGAAAATCAGACTTGAATGATTAGAAGCAAGTTGGAAAGAGTTTAGATAATGGGGCCAGAACAAGGAGGCTACTAAGGAGGCATCACAGACCCCACCATGCAAGCAGGGACTGTCGTATGGTCAGAGATGGGATAAGTGGTTCTGAAACAACAGGAGGAAGGTTGGAAGGCTGAGAAAAAGGAGCTGGATGGGATTGCAGCTTCTGACATGAACAGCTAAAAAAAAAAATAAATATCCAAGGCCATTTGTTAAACAGTGACAATTCTCCAGGCATTTAGTGCTCATGAGCAAGCATCTTTCATGGCTTAAGTGATGCTGCTCAAGCATTTTGCTCATATAAACAGCTCAAGGACATCCCAGAGTCTGGAATATCCTTGAAATTTCATGAAGATGTAAGTATGGGTGAGGTGGAAGAGAATAACATTATCGAGTCCTTCCTTAGCCTGCATTTGAGAAAGAATAGGCCAACTTGACGGCATCATTGTATCCACAAAAAAAGAATAATCAACATACACAGCATTTGCTGTTTGAAAACTGCACTGCAGTTATGTCCCACCCCACACTCCTCTGGGGAGAACAGGAACGTCCCCTTCCATAGATTACAGCAGGAAAAAGCTGATGGACTTCTTAACCACTTACCAGTGTTACTGACAGAATGCCAGGTAATGTCAGAAATCCTGACTGAACTGCTTGAGCCACTTAAACCGAATAACCAACAAAGCAATAAATAAATAAATAAAATAAAAAGCCTACCAGCATGTCAATGTATTGAACTGCATTTCACTTGGTCCCAGAAGCAGAGTTAAGAGTTCAATAAAGCCTGGGTAGTTAGGAAAGCCTGACTGCACACAGTGAAATACAACAGGTCCTCCTACTTCAACAGGTGTTTTTTCAGGACATGTTTCATTGAAAAAAAAATAATTAGCTTACAACAGCATTTGCAAGAAAAGTTTGTTAGAGCATCACCAAGAATTTCTAATGATAGCTAGAGCTAAGGCTATCTGAAACCTTCATGGGAACAGGAAAGGCTCGTTAAGAGGTAATTTCATGAAAATGCACATTTAGTTTCACACAAGGCCAGCACCGCATTTTCTATCCAGTGCTTATCTAAGAAGCCCAGCACAGAAACGGGCTGAACCCCTCAGCTTCAGGGGTGGCTCACCCAGCTGGCTCCTCACCCGCTGTGCTCAGCCGGGGGCCACCAAAGCAGGGTGGTCACAAAGCACCCTGGCCCCAAATGCCTCACGCGGGCCTGCTGCAGCCGCTGGGCCCCGCTCCGCAGCAGAGGCCAGCGGGACAGCCCCCACCTCACAGCAGAGCCCCCCAGCTGCTCAGGAGCTCATCCCTACAGTTTCACAGACAGCAGTCCAGAAAGTGGGCACCTGTACTGGCAAGTCTGTCCCTGGGGGGCACGCTCGCCAAGGCGTGTACCACCGAGCAGCACTGACAGCGAAACAAGCGGCGGGTGTCTGCAAGGGGGAGCGCGCGTCTGCCACCGAGCTGGATTTTGGCAGGCAACAGTTCACGAGCTGACAGTTGCTTTTGACGTTTCTTCCTCTAATAACCTTAGTGGCTTTGTGTAGAACAGGATGTAATTGGAAACTCCATGATTGTACTTAAGTCACCAAGGACACAGTTGTCATAGTTACAAGTAAAGCTCAAGTGTCTGTTATTCGTGGTTGCTTATTTATTTATTGACACCCACAGGATCAAACGCTCCCACCACCGTTCAGAAGAACAGAAATGGGGAGTCTGGTTTTGACTTTCACGTCTTGACAAAACAGTAAATATTGCACACGGCAGCGTAAGCCTTCCCTAATAAACTAGGTTTTTGCACAGCTACCTTCTCTCCCTCTACATTCAGCTGGCATTTCAGTCAGTCTGTTTTGAAAACAGCAGCAAAAGCACGAAGCAAGATGCAACACGCAAGACAAAACCTCGTGCTTATAGCTTGAAAGTACCATGCACAATCCATCGTGACATAGCAACACTGACCTGCCGAATCACACCAACAATCAGGTCACGGCTGAGGCATTAAAGAAGCTAGGACAGGAGCCTTCAGATCTGCCGTCACACTCACCCACAGGCAGAATTGTTATTATTCTGTCCCTATTCCCATGTGCCCAGGTTCTCCTCTTCAGATGTCTTCTAAGCACACTTGGTGGTTGGATACAGATATGCCTTACTTATTTACTTGTTTAATCTTTCTGCCCTTGTCTCTCCTTGTTTTCCCTCTCTCCCACAAATATTGGCCTGACAAATGATCCCTGGTCCAAAATCCAACGTGTAAAACCAGGTGGAAATGTTGCAATTATGACACACCAGAATTCAGGTGACCCACCAAACCTTTCAGCAGCTCATCTTTGATTCAAGAACTATTGGAGCAGCTAAACTATGATATGTGCGTGAATGAAATGCATTGTCTCAGGAAAGGAAAAATGGGGGGCCTAGAAAGCATCTGGTAGGAATTAAGCAAATTCTAGAGCCACAGGTAAAAATACCTATAAAACTGGCATAGATTGTATATTAGAAGTTGTGTATAAATATATGTTGGTAAAAGTAAGCATGGCAATTAATATTAGCTGAAATGTTACTTCTAGTGTTAGTTTTTCATTCTTTAATAGTTCCCACAGCAAGAACTGCACTTGGATATTTCACGGTACCATCTTTATTAGTGAGCTACCCATCAGAACCTTTCTTCTAGCTCACATATTTTGAATGCGTTATTTTCAATGAAGATAACAAGATATCCAAACCTTGCGTGTTATCTCCTGACATTTCCCCACCAAAACAGGCAGTCCAGTTCTCAAAGGGTTACACAGCTGAAATTATGACACAGCCATGCTTTTCAGATCAGCTGCTCCAGAAACATTCTGCAGTTGTGAGAAATTATAGTATTCCAAAATAACCTCAAGCAAAGCTTCCTTCTAAGATTTTATTCTTCATTATCCCATCACAGTCTCCTCAAGGTCACGAAAACAGCATGCAGTAAACCGTACTTTCAAAGCACTATTTATTTCCTGAGGTCATAAAATCGCTCGCTTGGAGATAGCCTGCACCAAAGCGAGGGAAACGTCTCAAATGGGAGCAAGCGCTCCGGCTTCTCAAGGTGACCCCTGCTTTAGCCAAAGACACAGAAAAGCAGATGCACGCGGGGGATTTCTTTCACAAGGGGTCCAGCGAGCCAGCTGCATAACAGCCAAGCATGCATATTCATGGGGGCACATTTTCACATCACACATGCCTGCTTGCAGAGACAAACCCTCCCCTGGGGAACCAGGGCCCCTGCGTGTGGTGGTACCAAAGCCCGAACGCGGGCTCAGCACAGTCTGCACTAAGCCCTACCGCGCGGCACACGCCAAAGGCACTTACATGGCTTGGATGAAAATGTGCAGCAGCCAGCTTGCCAGCTTCAAAACCCGCTCTCCCCTTCACCTTAAAGCGGGCCACATCCAGGAGCAGTGCAGGAGCAGCACCGCTGCCGTCACTCCCTTCAGCACCAGCCTGCGACTGCTGGCAGCAGGACTGGGCATCCGTCGCCCGGAGGAACCCCCAGCCTGAGCTGAGCTGAGCCGGGGGGACACCGCTAGTTAACGAAACCGAACCGAGATCATCTGACTGCCAGCCACCACTCCACTGCCTCTGACGTGTAGGTGTAGCCCATCAGCTCCTACCGGCCGAGTTCATCTGCACGCCTTCTCTGTGGGTTTCTGAAAACAGACAGCTGAGACGCAGGGCCAGGCTATTACAGCTCGAAATGCCCCCCCCTAGTTTTCAAGAACTGTGTGAACTTAAGAACAAGGTTTTGTCTTTAAAACCCCTCACTTGACTCAAGTTTGCAAATATCCCCAGGGTACCACCCAGGGAGTACCACAAAACCACCTCGGCTTGTTTCCTTCAGGTCCTGCGCAGACGCAGAGAGCACAAGAGCCAGCGGGCACCGTAACGCCACCTCCCGCGGAGCGCTGCTCGGGCAGAAAACAAAACCCCTGCTGCTGCTCTCAGGGACTGAAAGCAGCCCTGGTGCCACTGCACCCCTGCAGGCTGGGGGCCCAATGGGTTGCCATGACACTGGGGGGGCACAAGGGAAGATGCGGGGCCTGATGGGTTGCCATGGTGCCACGGGGGCCGGGAAGATGTGCCCGAGCCGCCTCAGTTTTAAATCCGCATGACAGCGTTTCGGCTGAGCTGCTGCACTGTTGCCATGGCAACCGATGGGTGAAAATCACGGCGGAAATCTGTAATTATTACAAGCGAGGCAGTGACTTACCCACACTCAGGGCATCAGAACGACTCAGGCCACGGTCTGAGCTGCGGCACCCATGTCACGCTGCGTGCCCTGCGGGTGCAGATGGGCGACACCACATCTCTGCGTGGTGCCTTCTGAGGCAGAGGCCCGGGACAGAGGCCCAGGCCTGTGGCCGTGCCCACCGAGGGAGCAGCCCGATGCCCCCGCAGCTGCACTCAGGGTGCGGTGCCGCAAAGGGGCTGAGGCACAGAGGGGGTACCAGCAGCAGGCCACAGAGGATGCGATGCGTACAGGAAGCAGCTGAGATCCCTGGTGATTCACAGACCCTACAACTGACGCTAGTTCGTGCTGCAGATACAGCAACATACCTTGTTCTGTCACCTTCTCTCAGCAGTGCTTGTTTGGCTGGGATGGATGCTGTGGTAGTTAGCGTGCTCAAACACAAGTACAGCAAGGGACGAAATCATTCAGACAGACCAGACACACCTTGCAGTCTCCCTCCACTGACATATCATCCGGACACAGGCAGTTTACACACTGACAGAAGCGATGCCAGCGTCCACGCGCCCCATTTGCACCCACTGCAGGAGAACGTGGCTTGGAGTCACTGTAGGGCTCTCTGGAGCTCTGCTGCGCTCAGCGGGCCATCGGCCACCACACCACTACTGAAGCCACCGAGAGCCCACTGACACCGTGCTATTCCTAAGTAACAGGCTGGGGATTCATAACCTGAAATCTGGTATCATTTACCTACGCAGACTGTTTTTTCAAACCTGGTGGTTATCACAGAATCACAGAATTTCTAGGTTGGAAGAGACCTCAAGATCATCGAGTCCAACCTCTGACCTAACGCTAACAGTCCCCACTAAACCATATCCCTAAGCTCTACATCTAAATGTCTTCTAAAGACCTCCAGGGATGGTGACTCCACCACTTCCCTGGGCAGCCTGTTCCAGTGTCTAACAACCCTTTTGGTAAAGAAGTTCTTCCTAACGTCCAACCTAAAACTCCCCTGGCGCAACTTGAGCCCATTCCCCCTCGTCCTGTCACCAGGCACGTGGGAGAACAGGCCAACCCCCACCTCACTACAGCCTCCTTTAAGGTATCTGTAGAGAGCAATAAGGTCGCCCCTGAGCCTCCTCTTCTCCAGGCTGAACAAGCCCAGCTCCCTCAGCCGCTCCTCGTAGGACTTGTTCTCCAGGCCCCTCACCAGCTTCGTCGCCCTTCTCTGGACCCGCTCAAGCACCTCCATGTCCTTCTTGTAGCGAGGGGCCCAAAACTGAACACAGTACTCGAGGTGCGGCCTCACCAGAGCCGAGTACAGGGGGACGATCACCTCCCTAGCCCTGCTGGTCACACTGTTTCTTATGCAAGTCAGGATGCTGTTGGCCTTCTTGGCCATGCTCCAGAACCGTGCCTCAAAACAACCCCCTGAAACTGGCCTGCACCGGCTGCCAGGCAGTAAAAAAATCCAGCTTTGAAGTCAACTTGCCAACGCTCACCTGCCGCAGAAAGTTCAGCAACCTCATGCAGGCGGGGATGTATCACAAGGCACGGGGTAAGGACTGAGAGAACTTGTAGGTGTTCACAGTCACACATACAGGAAGTTGGATGTGAAGGAAATGCACATTAGCAATTTCTTACTACCTCTAAGGTGAATAATCAGGATTGCAGCTCCTGAAGGTGCACTCTGGAGAGAGAAGGAAATTGCTGTGCCTCTGCTAGGGGCTACCATGCAGGATGAGGCTATATGCATTAAACAAAGCTGTCCGGGATGAAACACACTCCTTACGGTGAAGCACTACAGTGGTGCTAACCATTTACGTGACATGACTTAGGGCCTCCAGCCTGTGCAGTGCCCATCAGGCTAAGACACGTCATGTCCAGTTGCTTGGAAACTCACCTCCAGAGAAGGCATTATTCAGCAGTGAACTTTTATTTCTAGTGGCTTTTTGTGTTTTAATCCTTGGGTTAAATGCTGCTACAGGTGGCTGCTTTCAGCCCATTTATTACCTACAACCACCCTGAAAGGCTGGCTGCACGAGGGGGTGACAATGACTTGTGCCAGCCAGCTACAGGGTGAAGACCACCGAGTCCCAGCCACTGCTAGATCAGTGATTTGAAGTGACTGTAACTGCTCAACACTTCACTGTTGAAAGTGTGCAGCTCACTAAATTGTGAATTTCAACAAGAAAGCCACACACCTCCATGTGGTTTAAGAGAACATTAGTTACAAGATTTATTCAAATCAGTTGTCATTGGAAGGGACATTGCTGACAGCCCACAATAACTCTACAATCTGCATTGATATGCACTTTTCCAAGGACGACACGTTATACAGCCCTCTATTGTTAGAAAATAATCTCCTGCTTTAGCAGAATTCTTGCTCAAAAATATGTATTTCCACTGTTATACATATTTTCATGCATAAAGGCTACGCACATCCTGCTGAAAAGCATTACAATGATGCAAAGCCAAGTGGGGATCAGATTCTGGCCAGATTGGTCCACAAGACAAAGTAAAAGCACAAGGTTAGTATAAAGGATATTTGGATTTTATTCAAAATATCGGAAGGTTTAACTTATGTTATCAACTGCTAACTTTCACTGCAAATGATGGCAAATTCCCCCAGAAGCAACTGCACAACCTCCCTTAATCACTGCTTCATGCTCTAGAAAGCCTCTATGTTCTAGCGAGAACAAAGCTTTTCACCTAACACACAGCTACAGTGCTCGAGAAAAAATCAGTACCCAGAAACAACAGCTCAAGGGTAGAAACGGTGTCAAAATCCTACATGTCACATATGCCTGCATGAAACAGGAACCAAGCACACCAGCCTTACAATGCAGAGGGCAAGGCAAATCAGAAGAGACAGCATCAGGTCCCAGTCCTCCTGCAAAAGCCAAGGTCATTACAAGGTCTGAGACCCCCAAACTTGCATGGGGAAGGAAAGCAACAGCCATCTCAAGGGCCTGGTGCTCTCGGAGAAGAACTACAGCATCTGCTGCAGTGCTAGCTCTGCTTTTAGGGTGCTGTGAGTGGCAGCCTAGCTTCAGCTAAACGAAGACACGCCGAACCCAGAAGTCTTGTAGGAAGAGGCACCCTAACACAAAGCAGTAGGTAAACACTTGTGTCCATCAGCACGGGTGTCATAAATTACTTTAGAAAAGCCAATTGGTTTAGCATTGGAAAAGCAAAATTGTGCTGTTCTAAAGCATTTCTGACTTCGTCACCTTCATGTTAGTCACCTATGGTAACTACAACTGATGGAACCACTAGCTTCAATTTCAAATATTTTTAAAAATCTTTCAATACATTTGGAAGAAACCCCACATTGAGACTATAGAAATGTCAACCACAAGCTAGTTATAAAAATCTGAGCAGGTGATTTACAGAGACAAGAATAAAAACCTTATTTGGACGAAGGGGGTGACCACGAAAGGCATAACTGCTAATAAAGGGAAGGACCAGGATAGCTCAGATCAGTGGGAAACCCAACACCCTATAGCTTTCCCAGCCTGTGGCTGGCCCCAGGACTGCTTCCTACCCCAGCACCTCCAATAAAATCACATTAAGCTTGCGGAGGCAGGTCTTCCCCTTTAAAAGAAACAAAAACCAGAATGAACAGCGTGGAATTTGCCACGAGCAATACCACTGAACTCCAGGCATCTCTTTTGGTGGGCACATCTTAAAAATAAAATCACCTGAGGTGGGATGTGTGCAAGGACACGGCTGAGCTGCAGCACCCGCACTACTGACAAGTCAGTAACAGCAATACCTCGTACTGACACGGGGAGAGGGGAGCCACCCTCTCTTCAGATGCCTTCTACTTTAATTTGCATTAAACGGAAGAACGCCACAGCTGGGAGGAGAGGAAAGAAAAGGGAAACAGGAATTAAGCACAATTCTGATGAATTTCTGCTGCTGAAAAGTCCTGTCATTGCCTGATGCTCAGGATTCAGTTAAACAACATCACTTGGGCAGTTTCCAAAGCAGTTTAGGGAAGAGAAAGACACACGCAGCGTCAGTTTCAATAGACTGCATGGCTCAGTTCCCTAGTATATTTTGACAATTATTTTTGGGCTCCAGATGGAGAAAAAAAAAAAAAAAAAAGAGTGCCAACCTGATTCAGCAAGATACGGACTTGTCAAGTGAAGTCCTTTGGTTTCACTGGGCCCATTCATAAACCTGAAGCTGTGAATGAGCCAAAGGGCCTTGCTGAACCGAAAATATGGTAGGAAAAATCATTAATGAAGTCCTATTTGATGTTTGCCAAAATCCGAAAATTACCCACTAGAGAAAAAAAACACAGGGCTACTGCTCTAACTGGGCTTGCTTGATCCTTATATACTTGACCAAAATAATAAAGCTGCTGCATTACAACACCTGACCCAAGCAGCAAATGCCTGGACACCAATTTGAGGAGGGAAATTGAGCTGCGCTGAGTCTGCTGATGTGTGCATGGCCAAACTTGGGGGTTAAGTCTCATGGAGGCACA